CATACTAATCATGCGCTATTCTAAAAACATAATCATGTTAGAAACATGTTAACAACAAATGCTAGCAACGTGCTAATCATGCTAGAAACATGATTAGCAACATACTAATCATGCGCTATTCTAACAACATAATAATCATGTTAGAAACACGTTAACAACAAATGCTACCAACGTGCTAACAACATGCTAATCATGCTAGAAACATGTTAACAACAAATGCTAGCAACGTGCTAACAACATGTTAGTCGTGCTATTCTAACAACATGATAATCATGCTAGAAACATGTTAACAAAAAATTTTAGCAACATGCTAACAAAATGCTAATCATGCTAGAAACATGATTAGCAACATACTAATCATGCACTATTCTACCAACATAATAATCATGCTTGAAACATGTTAACAACAAATGCTAGCAACGTGTTAACAACATGCTAATCATGCTAGAAACATGATTAGCAACATACTAATCATGCGCTATTCTAACAACATGATAATCATGCTAGAAACATGTTAAAAACAAATTCTAGCAATATGCTAACAACATGCTAATCATGCTAGAAACATGATTAGCAACATACTAATCATGCGCTATTTTTAACAACATGATCATCATGCTAGAAACATGTTAACAACAAATGCTGGCAACATGCTAACAACATGCTAATCATGCTCGAAACATGATTAGCAACATACAAATTATGCGCTATTCTAATAACAATCATTCTAGAAACACGTTAACAACAAATGCTAGCAACGTGCTAACAACATGCTAATCATGCTAGAAACATGTTAACAACAAATGCTAGCAACATGCTAATCATGCTAGAAACATGTTAACAACAAATGTTACCAATGTGCTAACAACATGCTAATCATGCTAAATCATGCTAGCAATACGTTAACAACAAATGTTAGCAACATGCTAACAACATGCTAGAAACATGATTAGCAACATACTAATCATGCGCTATTCTAACAGCATGATAATCCTGCTACAAACACGTTAACAACAAATACTAGCAACGTGCTAACAACATGCTAATCATGCTAGAAACATGTTAACAACAAATACTAGCAATGTGCTAACAACATGCTAATCATGCTAAATCATGCCAGCAACACGCTATTAACATCTGTCTAAACTTTCAAACTTTCAGGCTAGGCTTTCTCAAGCCAACTTCAAAGTTTATTCACAAAATGTACTCATCTAGTTTGATTTTGTAATATTATTTCACTGTTTTTACTGCATAAATGCAGCCTTGCTGAGCAGAATAGACTTCATTAAAACATTTCGAAATCATAATGTTTGTGCACGTGTCCTCCCTCTTCAGCTCCAGTGACCTTGGACCCCAATACTGCTCACTGTACTCTCATCGTGTCTGATGATCTGACCAGCGTGCGATTCAGGGATGAGGAAAAACTGCTTCCTGATAATCTCGAGAGATTTGACTGTCGGGAGTGTGTTCTGGGTTCAGAGGGCTTCGACTCAGGACTTCACTGCTGGGACATTGAGGTTGGAGACCTCACAAACTGGACCTTTGGTGTGATGACAGAATCTGCTCAGAGGAAGGATGACGTTCTGACAAAGAAAGGACTCTGGGTTCTTGGGTACGCTTCTGGTGAATATTATGCATTCGTTACACCAGAGCAGTCGCCTCCCCTGTCGGTGAAGAATAAACTCCAGAAAATCAGAGTTCAGCTGAACTATGAAAAAGGAAAACTGTCATTCATCGATCCTCTCAATAACGCATACATTCACACTTTTACACAGAAGTTCACTGAGAAAGTCTACCCATGGTTTGGTGTCCGCTGTGACATTTGTCCTCTGGTGATCTTACCAGTGATCTGAAGAAATCATTTAGAGACGAAATTACTGAATTATTGAGTAGAACAAAGATCAATCCGATTTTAACATTAAAATAGAAAGTTTGTTTTGTCAGCATTTGTAAATTAATTCACTCTGACATGTTTTAATGTCTCTGCTGAGGTGTATATTTTGTGTCCTAATCTAAACTATTTTAAAAGGCATATAACAGAATTATTAAGTTATTATTATTAATATTATATAGTATAATAATATATTATAGTATAACATTCATTTTCTGTGAAGCTGCTTTGCAATGATGTGTATCATGAAAAGCACTGTACAAATAAACATGAATTATGCTACCATACTTTGATGAACAGTATCTTTACTATATATTTTCCAAAACACATTTTACCCTAAAACTTTTCAGTCAAAAATGACCAAATAACACCTGAGGGTTAATGGTGTAACTTTCAGTTGCTGTTAGTATCCTAACGAATAGAATCCTCTTAAATGTATAGATGGTACACGTCAAGCTTTCCTTGCGATTTTATAGCCATGTGTACACTGTAAAAAAAATTCCATAAAATTTACGGTAAAAAACCGGCAGCTGTGCACTGGTCTATAATAGAGATATAATATATTATTATTTATAAAGTAAAGCAATTAGTCAAAATTAGTCCTGGTGCACATCCCTTTTCCTGAATTCAATAGTTGATTTCTGTACACCGCAGAGACCAAAATGCACACATGGTGATGGCTGTCAGAGGATCCAGCAGATGTTTTACAGGAACTGGCCCTTCGTTTCATCGGTTTTGTTTTCAAGGAACTTCAGAAGCTTTGCTTTCGTTTTCAGAACTACAGAGAACTGGTTTAAAGCTATGTTTACATGTCTCTATGTGTGAGTCCCATAAATGTGGACAGCAATGAGGTCTGCTTATTGATATGCACATGTATTTATTAACTCATTCACAGTATTAGTGATCAGTGAGCTGATAATGAACGATAAACAATTGCATTGAACATGGTTCTGATATGACAATAAGAAGCGTGACTTACACCATTTATTTTTATTTTCATGATTGTTTCAATATAATTTACAGTGCAATAAATCAAATCAGTTGAAAGGAACACAGAAATATTTAGGCACTATTTGTAACAGGCAAATGAGGACTGACAAATGTAAAGTTGAAATTTGATTCATAGCAGCTGATGTGTGTAAATATTTCTCTTCCTCCCACACCTGCATCATCTCCAGTACCTGCCACTTCAAGAATGAGGGGAATCAAGAAACAAGCATCAAACAGCCATGAATAATTGCTCTGAATGATGAGTGCACTACTATCAGGTGGATTCTGATTGGCTGTCAATGTTTTCATTGTTCGTCAACTGAAAAAAAAAAGTTTTTAAAGAAATTCTAGCGATGTTGTTCCTCTGTATCGTTATCATTCTAGTTGTTGTGTGACTCTGCTATGCTTATAATTAGAAAGATTATTAACACTTCATCGTTATTGTTTTCATTGTAGCTATCATCCTTGATGTGAACGGGCCTTTACACGAGGTTTGAATGTTATTGATATTTACTGCAGATTTATTGCAAATTATCATTGGATAACATACATGCAGGTCTGTTCCTCATGCAAAGTGCCATACATTCTTTAAACATTATTTGGTTCCCCAAAGAACCTTTTTTTTTCTTCTGTGAAGAACATTTTAAAACCATTTTCCACTACAAAGACCCTTTTGTGCAATGGAAAGTTTCCATGCATGTTGAACCATCAATACCACTAAAGAACCTTTATTTCAAGAGTGTATGACTTCTGAAGACTTCAAGACACGAGTCATACAGACTACTTTTATGGTGCTTTTTATCATTTTTGGAGCATTCTTAATCATTGTTCTTGTGCAAAAAGATCTCTTGGGATTGGGCTTATTGAGTTATTGTGAATTAACATCTAAAGAATAATAATAAACGGCAATATTATGGCCTATAAAGATTTAGACTACTATTTGATTTAGTATTATTTAATTATCTGTGAAAAAAAATCAGAATTGAGTGAAACTCGCAATTCTGAGAAAAAGTATCAATTCTGAGAAAAAATACAGAATTGTGAGATAAAAAGCCACAATTACCTTGTTTTATTTTTTATTCAATGGCAGCAACAGGCTTGCATATAAATCAGATCTATGAATCGGATTAAAATTTTTTTTACTGAATTGTTATGTTACAATTTACAGGGAGTGGTTGGAGTTACAGTATGGTCAATTAGGCATTGAACAGGTGTCACAGGTTTCAGTTCATTTTCACCCCTCCCTCCCTCCAAACACATTCCCTCCATTGTGATATCAAATAAAAGAGAAACGATCAAATAAATCAATAAAACAGAAGAGCGAGAAACTATTTTAACTAATACGTTTTATTAGTTAACATAAGTTAACCACTTCAGTTAACAATGAACTAAGAATGAACAATACTTCTACAGCATTTTTTAATCTTAGTTAATGTTATTTTCAACATTTACTAATGCATTTATTACGCCCTGCGTCTAGGGAATGAAAGGGGCATAATGATGATAGTGTTGGTGCTGGATTCCCAACAAGTTAAAGAAATAATCACTCCGGTCGGGGACCAAACAATCACACCATTCACGGGAACCAGAAACGATTGGATTTATTAAAAGTTATATGTGAAACATGAAGAGCATCTCTTCGGGGTGGCCACAGGCCAACATAACAAACAAAAAGGAGACTAGAACAAAAAAAAAGAGAAATTAAATAACCTAGACAATTTATAAAACAAAAATACAGCCAGCTTACACTCTTAAAAATAAAGGTGCTTCACGATGCCATAGAAGACCCTTTTTGTCTAAATGGTTCCATAAAGAACCTTCAACATCTGAAGAACCTTTCTGTTTCACAAAAGGTTCTTTGTGGCGAAAGAAGGTTCTTCAGATTATAAAAAGGTACATCAAAGAAACGGTCGTAACAGCATTGTTAAAATTAAAAGTTGTGTTAGTTAACATTATAATGCATTGCGCATTAACGACTGTATTTTCATTAACTTACATTAAGAAAGATGAATAAATACTGTAATAAATGTATTGTTCATTGTTCATTCATGTTACATTAACTAACATTAACTAATGGAAGCTTATTGTAAAGTGTTATTGTTGTTTTCTTTCAGGAGAAACTCAAAGCTGTACTGGAACACTTACGGGAGAAGATGGGAATATTTGATAATTTTAAACAGACGTTGGATCAGACTGCTGATATTAATAAGGTTGGAAATAAACAGTGTGATTTAAGTACGTCTGGGTGTTATAGATCTAGTTTGGCTATTATATCTTGCTGTTAATTTTCAGGTTCAAACTGAAGAAACAGAGGAGAAGATCAAGAAGGAGTTTGAGGAACTTCGTGAGATTCTGCGCAATGAAGAAGTGGCCAGAATAACAGTGCTGCGAGAGGAAGAGAAGCAGAAGAGTCAGATGATAAAGGAGAAGACTGGGAAGACCAGCAAACAGATCGTATCTCTCAAATGTGCAATCAGAGACGTAGAGGAGCAGATGAAAGCTGAAGATGATTCATTCCTGCAGGTGCCAATGAACCCTCATCTACAAAGTGTTCATTATTAAGACAAATGCAAACATATGAATGGCATTTTCAGAAATTAAAAAATGCATTTCTTTCTTTTTGTCTTTACAGAACTTTAAGAGCACACTGCAAAGGTTTGTTGTGTTTCCTGTTTCTCTTGTGAATTCTCTGGCTCTTCTCTGATTCCTGAAGGTTTTTGTTTTTTCCAGAGCCCAGTTTAGCCTGCCAGATCCGGGGAATGTTTCCGATTTGCTGATCAATACCCAAGAATACCTGAGTGACCTGAGGCTCACTGTGCTACAGAAGATTGACAGCTCCAGGGGGGACCCCAGTGTAAGAGGGGGCCACAATATCAGACGGGGCCACAGTTCCAGAGAGGGGCCCAGTGTCAGGGGGGACCCCACTTCCAGAGGAGGCCCCAATTTCAGAGGGAGCCCCAGTAATAGAGGGGACACCGGCTTCAGGGGGGGGCATAATTTTAAGGAGGACCACAGTAACAGAGGGGACCTCAGTTTCAGGGGGGACCCTAGTTTTAAGGAGGACCCCAATTCCAGAGGGGGACACAATTTCAAAGGGGGCCACAGTACCAGAGGGGACCCCAGTTTCAGGGGGGGCCACAATTTTAAGGAGGACCACAGTAACAGAGGGGACCCCAGTTTTAAGGAGGGCCCCAATAACAGAGGGGACCTCAGTTTCAGGGGGGACCCTAGTTTTAAGGAGGACCCCAATTCCAGAGGGGGACACAATTCCAAAGGGGGCCACAGTACCAGAGGGGACCCCAGTTTCAGGGGGGGGCACAATTTTAAGGAGGACCACAGTAACAGAGGGGAACACAGTTTCAGAGGAGGTCACAATTTTAGGGGAAACTCCAGTTTCCGAGGGGACCACAGGGGCCACAGTACTGGGGGAGCACATAGATTCAGAGGGGGCCGGAATTACAGAGGGGCCCTTAATAACGAGGGGGCCAAAGTTCCAGAGGGTGCGGAGGAGTTCCAGGGGAGCCCCTGAGGGGGACAAGTTAAAGGGATAGTTCACTCAAAAATGAAAATTCTGTCATCATTTAGTAACCCTCATGTCGTTCCAAACCTGTATACATTTCTTTCTTATGTTGCACACAAAATAGGATATTTTGAAGAATTTTGAAGGACCAAACAGTTGTTGGTCGCCATTGACTTCCATAGTAGGGAAATAAATACTACGGAAGTCAATGGGGACCATCAGCTGTTTGGCTACCAGCAATCTTCAAAATATCTTCTGTTATGTTCAACATAAGAAAGAAACTCATACAGGTTTGAAACAACATGAGGGTGAGTAAATGATGACAGAATTGAAATTTTTGGGTGAACTATCCCTTTAAGCTTAGCCAGCTATACCCTCCACCAGCAATAAAACTATTCAAATAAGTACAAATATGTTACATTCTGAAAATTGCAAATGCAAGAAATTGAATTTATTGAAAGTCGCAGGGTAAACTGCACTGAAGAAAATAGCCTTTCAAACCATTTTTATTCAGAAACGGCTAGTAAATTTGACAAATAATTGCAAAGTAAGGGCAAGTAACAGTGAATTAAACATGACATTTTGAAGTAGAAAGACTGTAATAGTTTTTCTTTTTAAAGACATTCTCTAGTAGTGGTTATTTTATTTACAACTTCGAAAAATCAATTTTATAGTGGTGCACAGACATTAAGCATAGGTTAGACAGTTTATTATTTCTTCATGAGTTTTTTTTAATGGTGATGGATAGTTTGTTGACGACAGACAAAGACTTAATGGCAATAAACATTCACACAGAACACAGAATAGAAGTATAGAAAGATACTTCTATTATTAACTTAATTTGAACGAATCTGCTTAATTTTTTACTGTATTAACTAAGATATCATCCGATTTTCATTACTTTTATTTTATTTTATTTGACTTTGATCAGAGGTATCAAGGTTTTTAATACTAGCCTTTTTAACGGCGTAGACAGCCATATAAAATCGGCTTTATTTTTTTTCCATTTTAATGGATTCTGTTTAATGGTTGAATTACATTTTAGCAATAAAAAAACATGTCTAATTAATTGAAATGAAAGGTAGGAAAGAATCAGAAGGTATTAATCTTATTAGAAGCAGTGTACCGTGGAAATGACTTTGAAACTGATATTTTAAGGTAAAAAAACTTACATGTAGTTACTTTAACAACAATTTATTAGAAGTTTAACAAAAATGAAAATTTTAGGGCCTCAATTCCACATTTTTTTAATATATTTTTTTCTTTACTTAAGTTTACTTAAACTTTAATAATAAAAAAGCATGTCTTATCAAATGAATTCATAAAACGTTTGTTTTATAATTAAGAATGTTATGACATTTTTGCAATAATAGGGGCATATGAAATGCCTTTTTTTTTCAGAAATTATGTGTTGTCTTTTAATGTGCCTGAATTTATGATTTAATACAAGTGTATTATCAAAAACAGCAGTAATCAAATTAAGGCATAAAAAATGACCTTTTAATCTTTTAAAATGTAATCAAAATAAAATTGAAAAATTACTTTTCTTTTTGGCAACCAAAGTTCTGCACAAAAGAGGTTTACTGTTTAAATAAAAACATGGATGAGAAATTGTGATATTTGTAACCCTGGAGCACAAAAGCAGTCATAAGTAGCACATGTATATTTATAGCAATAGCCAAAAATATGTTGTATGGGTCAAAATGATTGATTTTTCTTTTATGCCAAAAATCATTAGGATATTAAGTAAAGATCATGTTCCATAAAGATATTTTGTAAATTTCCTACCGTAAATATATCAAAACTTACATTTTGATTAGTAATATGCATTGCTAAGAACTTCATTTGGACAACTTTAAAGGTGATTTTCTCAATATTTTGTTTTTTTTGCACCCTCAGATTCCAGATTTTTTTGAATAGTTGTATCTCAGTCAAATATTGTCCTATCATAACAAACCATACATCAATTTTATTGCAACAGCTTATTTATTCAGCTTTCAGATGATGTATAAATCTCAAATTCAGAAAATGTACCCTTATGACTGGTTTTGTGGTCCAAGGTCACATTTATTAAAATCATTTATATTTATATCATTTTAAACACATTTTTCGTTTTTTAAAAATGCAAGACAGTGCACTGGAATGGAAAATAACTTTTAACATTAATACATTTATAACACTTTGTTTTTAGTACTTGATGAGCGAGATGCTAAAAAGCAGCAAGATGCTGAAAAATCAAAGAAAAAGCACAACGGTCAAAGACATCCATCTGTAGCACGTGTATATAAAATAAGCTTTGATTTATTCTACTACTTGAAATACTCTCTAAAAAGATCAGGAGCTTTGGACAACACGTCATTTATACTCATGCTGAAATGTTTGCTATTAACATGACATTATTACTAAAAAGTTACATTTTTTCACGTCAAACCTGTTATTACTTCAATTAAAACAGTAGGCTGTGTTTTTAGGTTTAGCCTTTAGGCTATTCTTCATCTTAGTTATTATGTTCTCATGATAATCGGTGACAGTAATCAAGCTTTGATGTGTTTTTGGTTGTTTCATACAATTTATAACATTGTTCTTTGATATGGAAACATACTATAGCTATATTAATTTAGGATGTGGTTCTGTCACAAATTGTTCTTTTAATTTAACTGTTATTCTTCAATAAATGTTAGTATGATAATTTGTGACAATAATCAAGTTTAAATGTAATTTGGGTGTTTTGTACCATTTATAACATTGTTCTGTAATGAAAACAATAGTCAACTATATTAAAACTATATAACTGTTATTCAATTCTGTAATAAATTGTTATAAATTAGGTTCTTCATCTTATAAGTGCACAATAAAGAAACAATGATCGGCTACATTTTTGTTTATTTGTTTTTTTTTTATTGCAGAACTTTTCACCTCATTTAACATTTTAATCTATCTCTGGCAACTATCTAGTGTTATAAAGTGTTCATGTTGTTTTTCATTAGTTTTTCATGTTGTTTTAAAAAAATAATCATGAAAATAATGAAAATAATCATGCAGTTAAGAATATTAATCTCTATAGCAAACTTGCATAGACTAGATGTATATTCTGATTTAAATATATTCGAATATTTACATTATTATAATAAACAGCAGCTATGATAGCGAAGATGTATTATTTATATGGAGACAATCATTTAATTAAAGGCAAACAGTGGGGGGCAGCAGAGGCCGTGGCGGTGACGTCACCGCGTGACGCAATGACGCAATGACGCACGAGCGTGCCCCCGTCAGCTGATCAGAGAGCCGCTGCGGAATTAAGTCGCGTTGCTGCGATATTTTCATAAAATCAACGACAGAACGAATATGAGACGATAAAGAGCGACTCCGGTGAGTAAAACACACCGACATTTAATCTGTCACGCGACCGGACACCGAAAGAGCCGCGCTGTCACATTATAATGATGATAAACACACAGATGAACGGGACAGAGGTCAATATACACAAACATACACTGAAATCATCCACAGTCAACACACATACAGTCACACAAACATTTATAACATACACATTATATACATGTATGTTATATACTTCTACATCTACACACGCACTATATACACAGCAGATGCTTGAACACTGTACACATATGGCATTTGTGCAGCTTAAAAGGTTCAGACAGGTGATTTTCAGTCAAATCTAACCACATCGTGATGTAGACATGCAGGGCGTGTTAGAACGAGCCGTTTTAGGTAGGTGTGGCTGACTCTTAACTTTTATAAAGAATCTTTATAAAAAAAAAATCTTTGGATTTGAGACTTTAGTCTTTGCAACTTTACAGATCTTCTTTATGCACCAAGAGCTTGTAACACTCCAAAGAGAAAGGAAAAATTGAAATCGCCTCATATGACCCCTTTAATTTAATTCATGGACATTTCTAAAAGCTTTCTCCTGGGAAAATATAAAATATAAAAAATAAAGAGTTTATATAATTGCTATATTTAAAAAAAAATGTTGTAAGAAAAATATTGTTACATTTGTTAAATAAATTTTTTTTGGAGAAATTTTAATTTCTACTACAAAAAGTATTTACTTCTGATATGGTGTTAAAATAAATAAATAATATTTATTTAATAAACTGATGTTTTAGAAAAATTTTATTATATATTATAAATGATACAATTATATACAGTATATAAAAATAAATATACTTTTTTTCCAGGCCTTTGTTTGTTCATCTAGGCCAGTTATTCCACTTCCTCATTTTTGTGTTTCTGGAATTTCCAACAATGCATTGATTGTGTCTGATTACTGTTTTCTTTTGTCGTCTCTCTCTTTTCAGTATCACAGAGAACATGACAGGAAACAGTCTGGTATTACCCATAGTTCTGTGGGGCCACAATGCGCCCACTCACTGCATCTCCAGCCTGCTGGTGATGGACGATCTGGCCACCATCATCACCGGCTGCCATGATGGACAGATCTGCATCTGGGACATGACCCCAGAGCTGGAGGTGAGAGGTCACGGCGAGGTCACACCTGTGAGGTTGTTCTTTAAAGGGACAGTGCACCCAAAAAATGAACATTTTGTCATCATTTACTCCCATATGACTTACTCCCATCTCGTCCATGGGCTGGAATGTTATGAAGGTTATTATTGATTGTTTGATGAGTTTCTGTGTGTCTCTGTGTGTTTAGATCAATCCTCGCGCTCTGCTGTTCGGACACACGGCTTCTGTCACCTGTCTGTCCAAGGCCAGCGCAGGAAGTGACAAACAATACCTCGTCAGCGCCTCCGAAAGCGGGTGAGAGAGAGTTTATCATGGGCTCTTTAGGCTGTGCTGATCTGTAAGATAACAGTGTGTTCAGATAGTGAAATATGTGTTTATTATTATATTAAATGTTAGCAGTTTCACCTGAGACGTCTTTTGTGTTTGTCACAGGGAAATGTGTTTATGGGACGTCAATGATGGACGCTGTATTGAGTTCACCAAACTGGCCTGTGCACACACCGGAATACAGGTAACACACACACACACACACACACACACACACACACACACTTATTGAAATAAGGACATACTTTATGCAGTTTAATTGCAGATTTACAAGACAGAAAACATTCCAACATCATAAGACCAGCTAACAAAAGGCCAAGGACCATGTATTTAAAAAAAATGGTATATACAATGTATAATTTAATATATAAAAATAATATATATATATATAAAATATTTATATATTATTTATATGTAAACCACACATCTAAAATAAATGTTTTTACAATTTTAGAATTAAGAAAAATAAAACATAATTTATTTATGAATCAACACTCTCTCTGAACAAGACTGCATTAGAGTAATAGAGATTCTTCTATAAAGAACTCAAAGAGTCATATATTTAAAAATATGTATATTTATTTAAAATATTATGATTATAAATACTAAAGACTAACGCAAACCATGTCTTTTTAAAAGAAATGTTCTTGCATGTTTAGATTTAAGAAAAATAAACATTGAATTTATTTATAAATCATTTTTCATAAAACTCTGTCTCTCTTGTACAGTTTTATCAGTTCACCATCGGCACACAGAGGGAGGGCCGTCTTCTGTGTCATGGGCATTACCCAGAAATCCTTGTAGTGGACGCTACCAGTCTAGAGGTCCTTTACTCGCTCGTGTCCAAGATTTCGCCTGACTGGATCAGTTCCATGAGCATCATTCGCTCGCATCGCACGCAAGGTAACCGCTGCTGTTTTGGCATGTGAGAATGTGATGCATTTCAGAATTATAGGAGCTAATGTCTATTTATGACATCTGTGACATACTGTCGATAACCACTAACAATAATTTAATCCCATTTTATAACAAGAAAGGGGAATGTGCACAGATAATGTACTCAGTGAAGTTCTAAATGTTTAAAAGTGTGCAATGATTTTTTTTGGCAGTTTGAAATTTTATGATATTTAAGACCAAACTGTATTTGCATTATTATTTTAAGCTACTAGCAAATGGCCATAAAATTTAAATCTAGCAACTAAATTCCTTAAATTACAAATTAAAAAATGCCCTATTTACAATTTATTTACTTTATTAAGAAATACATAGATAAAAAGAATGTGATTTTTTTTAAAATTACATATTGTATATATATATAATATATATAATTTATTTTTTTTTATTTATTTATTTTTTTAAATAATAGTGCAAATCCAAAAAAATTATTTCACACTTGAAAGCTACTAGCAAAAATTAAAATCTACCAACTAAATTAATTAAATTACAAATTTAAACATTTTGATTATGATTTTTAAATTTAAAAATGACTTATTTAGAATGCATTTATATGTAAATAAATAAAGAGAATGTGATTTATAATTTTTTAAATTTTTTTAATTCATTTATTCAAAAATTCATTGCAAACTAGCAAGCTACTATCTAATGGACAAAAAATGTAAATCTTCCAACAAAATTACTTAAATTACACATTTAAAATGTATGATTTTTAAATTTACAAATGACTTATTCAAAATGTATTTATATGTAAATATAGATAGAAAGATTTAGATTGGTTTTATTTATTTTATATTCATTCATAAATTTGATATAAATAAAAAATATGGATTTAGAAAATGTGAATTATTATTTTTCCCTGATCTATTTAATACATTTTCTATATGCATATAACTATTAAAAAAAGTGAATAAAATTTCACACACCAACAAAGCACCTACACATTACCAACCGCTTACAAATTGCCAACAAATCATAACAAACTCACAGAAAAACACTTATCCAGCTAATGACCACACACATTAAAAAACGGTCAGGTCAGGTCTACAGCTACAAACTGTTAAACTACTACTGCTGATCAGTCTGTGTGTGTTTCAGCTGTCTCCCAGCGAGCGAACACTTCCGCAGCAATATGGGGAAGAAGACGGAGGGTTCGATCCCTCCTCTGGTGTACAGCATAGCGGACCGCGCCGACAAACAGGTCAGAGACATGCACACTTGAGGAAACAACTATACACTCACTTGTACTTTACAAACATGTCTGTTAATTCTTGGCCTTCAGATTCAGTCAAATTTAGAAAGTGGACATTACAGGTGTCTTGAGAGGATCAAAAGTACAAGTTATTACGTTGTAATGAAAGTTTACGAAGACAAATCTTTTCATTTAATAACATCACTGATGAATCAGGAACATGATTTAGGAACGTCAGTTTTGATTTCATGTGACTTTAAAGATTAGTTGATCTCAGCCAATCGTAGAGCATTAAATGTCCTGTGTGTTTAAGTTCAGTTTCTTTATAAAAACACTGCTGTTCAAAAGTTTGCGGTTGGTGAGATTTTTAATGTTTTTGAAAGAAGTCTCTTCTGCTCACCAAGGCTGCATTTATTTGATAAAAAATACAGTAAAAACAGTAAAATAGTGAAATATTATTAAAATTTAAAATAACTGTTTTCAATGTGAATATATAGTAAATTGTAATTTATTCCGGTGATCAAAGCTGTATTTTCTAGGGATGCACCGAATTTTTGGCCGCCGAAAATGGCATTTTCGGTTTTCGGCCGAAAGAGAAAAACGGCCGAAAATACGAGCCGAAAATATAGGCTACATATAATAATATATATGTAGCTCAAATAATGTGCTGACAGAAAATTTCTGTGCAGTATACTTGTTCCTGTTTGCAGTAGCGCTACTGTGCTGTAACATGCTGTAGCACAGCTGTACTGGACAATGCTGGTAAAATGATGCTACCTTCAGTGACGCTATGCTCTGCTCACATGCTCTGATAATATGTGAATGTGTGAATATTTTTGTAAAGATCATGTTCCATGAAGATATTTTGTAAATTTCCTACCGTAAATATATCAAAACTTAATTTTTGATTAATAATATGCATTGCTAAGAACTTCATTTGGACAACTTTAAAGGCCATTTTCTCAATATTTAGATTTTTTTGCACCCTCAGATTCCAGATTTTCAAATAGTTGTATCTCGACCAAATATTGTCCGATCCTAACAAACCCATACATCAATGGAGAGCCTATTTATTCAGCTTTCAGATTATGTATAAATCTCAATTTCTTGAGATTTCTTGAGGTTTTGTGGTCCAGGGTCACATAATAGCTTTGTAGGACTATACATTATTTGGATAATTAGTCCAAAAAAACAACAACTTATATCTGATTCTGTTACATAGAAGTGAATAAAAAGAATATATTGATATTTAATATTAAGGTAACACTTTACAATAAGGTTCCATTAGTTAATGTTAGTTAATGTATTAACTAACACGAACGGACAATGAACAATACATTTATTACAGTACTTATTAATCTTTCTTTATGTTAGTTAATGAGAATACAGTTGTTCAGTGTTAGTTCATGTTAATTCAGAGTGCATTAACTGTTAACATGCAGAACTGTTGATTTTAATAATGCATTAGTAAATGTTGAAATTAACAT